GGTGTTCATCAACCGATCCAAACCGATTCAAACCGCGAAAACCGAACCGAAAAATCGATAACCGAATAAACCAAAAACCGAAAAATCGGAAACCGAAAGCAAACCGCAAATTATAATTGGATTGGATCGGTTTTCGGATGGGTTGATGAAAACCTATCAAATCCAAACCGATCCAATATATTAATTATCCTCTACCTACTTGTCATTTCTCTAATCATAGCCCAAAAATTTCTAAACTCAAGACCCATTAACTCATCAACTAAACCAAAAAAAAAACTTAGTCACGTCTCATCAACTATAGTATTGTTTAGTGATATTTTTGTATTTCAAATTTTTTTTTTACAAAGCCAATATGTACAAAAGATGTTATTTGTACAATAATCATGAAACTAATTTTAGGATATTCAAAAAACCGAAAACCGATCCAATCCAAACCGAAAAAAATTGGATTGGATCGGATCGGATTTGAAAAAAAATCTAAACCGAATGGATGATTATATGATCAAACCGAAGGGATTGGATCGGATGAGTTTTGCTTCCAAAACCGATCCAATCCAGACCGCGAACAGCTAAGCTTATCTAAAATATTTAGAGCCTATACTGACTTATTAGCATATTAAAGACTTGATTTATTGGTTTGGCCTGACCTATTATAAAAAACTAAAAAACCTAATGTGGCCTGTAAGGCCTACCAAGTTGCAAACCAAGGGGGTGTACTGGATTAGGATTTCAGAGGATTTTAATGGATTATTTTAGACAAAAAAATCCATTGGTATTCAATTAAAATTTTAAAGCATTGAAAAAAAGTCATGTGGTATTCAATTAGGATTTTAAAATATTAATTTACACTCCGTCCAAATTCGTTGGTATTCAATCAGGATTTTAAACAAAGGAAAAACAATATTGTGGTATTCAAAAATCTGACAATTTTAATGGATTTTTCATTGGAGTGGATTTCGTGAGACTTTTTAGTGAGAAATATAAATAAGATGTCTCTCTCACAATCTCACCCTAACCCCTAGGATTTCTTGAGATTTCTATACTGCAGTGTCTCACAATCTACTCTAGCATTTTCTCAAAGCCAAGGTATGTTCTTTTCTGACTCTCATATATTTTCTCAGGTATGGGTATTCCTCCTTCATGACTAATGATACTGTTTGTCGTATGTATTTATCAGGTTTTGGTATTCCTCCTTCATGATTAATGATGTGCTTCATTTTATTTTTTACCAGAGTTGTATAGAGTTGACGATAAACATGTATCTAATCTCTAAAATTGAACTAATAAGCTTACCACATACATTATTTGTCGACCTTCTTCTTTTGTATATTGTTTGGATTATAATAAGCATAAAATCCTAATATTCTTCGTGTTTGGCAATGATACATATTAAAAATCTTAATAATTTGATGGCAAGCTCTATTAAAATCCTAATATTCTTCGTGTTCAATCTTCGTCATGCATCATTGAGAATATATCATATAATATATTATATTATTAAAAAATAAAAGGTATGTGTAATTATGATAAATATTTCGATATGTCAAATTTTTTGGCCCGACTAAAATTAAATTCTGGCTCCACCACTGGTTTGATCGGACAGAACAACAAGTAAGGTAAACAAGATAAACAAGAAATATGTTTCTTCTTTCGCTGTCTCTCTCTTACATTGTTACGTTAGAACGAGGAATTGATTTGAGACAGAAAGAGTGTGAAAACTGAAAAGCAAGATTTTCTTTTGAGATGAAAACGGAGGCGGTGGGAACCAATTCAATCTATTTGGTGAGGCTAGATTTATAATTTTATATATCTCAAAGATATGGATTAGTATTATTATATCTCCGTGGAGTGATGGATCAATCAACAAATTAATGACTCTACTAATTTTTCTAAAATATTATACAATACAAATTAACAGAAGATGTACCAACCCTAAAAAAATGACGTGTTTTATTATAAAAATTGAGAGATAGGCACATTTTAACTTGCTTTCTATATTGATAGGCACATTTTATGTATCTAATTGCTTTCTATGATGAAAATATTATAATTTATTGTTATGAGGTGAAAAGTTTTGGGCGACCTTTGGAGGACAGTAGCCTCATTAAACTATGATGAATATGTAAGTATTTTATTTGAAAGTGGTAATTAGTGAAATGATTATAATGTTGATCATCTCAAAATAATTTTTTTTTTGGTGAAGATCTCAAAATTATTTACTTCTTAAGAATAGTGTTGTAACAGAGTGCATGTCAAACAAATGGCATAACATATGCCGGAACAAAATTTTGACGTGCATAATTACACCAGATTGTTTTATTTACTCTAAAATCAACGGCAAATTGAGAAGACTAATTTTGTTAGGATGGAGAAAAAAAGATTATAGCGAATTATGAAGCGGAGAAAGTTATATTTATTATCATTTTAGACTTATTATTCTTATTATCTGATTAGTTACCGTTATATTAATTTGAAATCAACAATAGAAAAATAGAAGAAAAAAATAACTGTTGTTGATTTTGAATTAATCCTTTGATAAATAGAAGAAAAATGCATGTATCTCCAAGAAACTCTCAAAGAAAACTAAAGCGCTCAAAATGTAAAAACTGATTACAACTAAAAACTGAATTCTCTCTTCAACATGAAAATCTGACTTCCACTAAGTTATGAGTTCCACTCCTTTTTACAAAACAAAGACTACTTTAAAAAAAAAAAATATCTTCAAATTGATGTTGTCCCTCATATCAAACAAGCATCCAACGACCTTCAAATTTCCATCTCATCTTCTTCTTTCATCTTTCATTGCCATGTGTCCTTTTCTGTGTATAAAAAGAAAAATAATTTGCAAAAAGTTAAAATTTCTTTTCTTTTACCTCTTTTTATCAACTTGGGCTTACTTCTTTAAATTTGGCCCAAAGTTTACCTGCACTTTAATACAATTCAGCCCATAAAACATAAGATAATTACCACTAAATTAAATAGAAATTAAGACTACCACTCGTCAGATTAGGTTTTGGCCTAAATACGTTAAGTTTATATAAAATATTTTGAACTTGGTTTGACCTATTAATTTGGTGTACTCTACATTATAGGTTTGGTGTTGTCTATATTTAAAAATCAAAATATATGACCTAGGCATATTAACATGTTTAAGCCTACGAATCTTTAATAATTATCAAAGTTAATATATATATATATATATATATATAATTAATTTTTATTAGTTAAATTTATATAAATAATTATTTATTTTATTTGAATTAAATTAAATAATACGATATACTGACGTATAGGTCAATATTTGTAAAAGGAAATGTTTTCTAAACAAGTTTTTTTTGAGGTCCAAGCCTATTTTATTTTACTAAATATATTAGCTAGGTCAAACCTAACCTACTTAGACCGAATTATAAACACTTAATAGACCATTTGATCCATTTAAATCCCTACATGGAAGTTATGTGTGAGGAAGAACTTGCAATTTGTGTGTTAACAGTATTGAGCTTGGAAAATTTCACACGGCAAAATAATGTATCGATTATGTATAAATTATAATCTGTATATATTTGTTAGTTGTGGTTATGATGACTGAAGTTACTGTTTAGACCTTATAATTACTTCTTCATGAATCATGATATTTTTAATTAATTATCATTTTTTCAAAAATATGCTTAGCGATATATTTTTATTTATTTTAAATAATTCATATTTCTATCATCGATTCATACTCTCAATCCAAAACATATAATTGAAAATATTATATTCAACTGTAAAATTATTATTATTATTGAGGTAAAAAGTTTTGGGCGACCTTTGGAGGATAGTAGCCTCATTAAACTATGATGAATATGTAAGTATTTTATTTGAAAATGGTAATTAGCGAAATGAATATAATGTTGATCATCTCAAAATAATTTACTTCTTAAGAATAGTATTGTAACCGAGGGCATATCAAACAAATGGCATAGCGTGTGCCGGAACAAAATTTTGATGTGCATAATCACACCAGATGTTTTATGTACTCTAAAATCAACGGCAAATTGAGAGTACTAACTTGGTTAGGATGGAGAAAAAAAGGTTATAGCGAATTGAGAAGCGGAGAAAGTTATATTTATTATTATTTTAGACTTATCACTCTTATTATTTGATTGGTTATTGTTATATCAATTTGAAATCAATAATAAAAAAATAGAAAGAAAAAAAAAAAACTATTGCTGATTTCGACTTTGATAAATAATTAGATAGTAAGGGTGGTACGTCTAAAATATAATAAATATAACCGCCCCAACTGAGAGGCTTGATAGTCCATTGTTCTTTATAAAACAAAGGGGTGGTGAAGGGAGGGCCCCAATTGGTAGAAAAAAACCCGCAACTTTTTTTCTTCCAGAAACTCTTAGTATTTAAAAAATACATTGAATTTCAATTATTTCGAGTTGAGTCGAGTGAACTTACTCAAAGGAACAATATTCTCTTAATGTCTGTTTTTTCGTTTTCACAATTAAGACTTCACTTAAATATAATCGAGTCCCTTATTACTCGAACTTTTTACATATTGATTTATAAAACAAACAAATAATAACATTTGTAGATAGATCAAAAAACTCAATTTTTGAGTTTGTTCTTTCCGGTTCAAAGGTTGAAGTGACAAAAATAATAGAACCCCGTATACCGAAGTGAAAAAGAATTGAAGTGACAAAGAACCAATTTTAATTATTATTATTTTAACCTTGAATAAAATTCATTAAACCAGTAATGAAAAAGAATTGAAGTGAGTAAACATAAACAGAAAAACCAAAATCACTGGCTGCTTGTGGAAGCTTGTGAAGCTTCCAAAAAATAATCCATTTTCTTTATCACTGGCTGCTACACTAGTCCGGTGAACATTCTTTCCCTCAGTTACTCTACCATCAGCCTCATTCATACTCTCATATCACATGAATACCGAACTAATTTGTTTCTAGCTGCTATAGTAGACTGAAGAATATCATCCTCTTTCTGCTGCTTCACTTTAAGTGATTTTTAGAATAAATTTCAGCCCAAACTTTATTGAAATCTGAACGACACCGACTCCATTCCTCCTGTTTCTGCTTCAGTCGAGTCAATATTACAGGGAGCGCACGAGTTGGGTTTTTACGCAATATGTCTATAACGTCAAGACCATGGTCACCATATAGACGTTCAATGCACCTTAAATTTTGAACAGTAAAGTAATCTTCAATACGGTTCAGAGTCTCCATATTGATCTTATTTTCATTCATGTTATTATATAATTCCTCTGCACGTTTAGCTGCAGAACTCACAGACTCTAATAACATGTCCAGCTCAAATCTGTCATCTTCACATCTGAACAAGCTCTCTTCGTACTGATTCCTGCACATATGTTCGGAAGAGTAATCCTCACTTCCTGAACTCACAGATACCCAGTGATCATTCAATACTTGAGCACCAAGCTCAGATCTCTGACTAGCTGTAGGAATTGGATAATCAGCAGGTAGAAGCCGGTAGCTGGGAGTGCAACGTTTACAGTCACTGAGGTCAAGTTCTTGAATGGATTTTCCCATGTACTCCTTCTCCCTGTATCTTTCCTTCTCTTTAGCTCCATCCATCTCACGCTTCTGCTCTTTGTCTTTGTCTTTGTCCTCCAACTTTGATGATCTTAGTGACTTTTTACTCATGACACCAGCAAGGAATTGTTGAGCATTTATATGATCAGGTTCTCTCTCATCCTGATCACGATTAATCCTTATATCCTTACTCTCACGTTTCCTCCACTTCTTGTGCATGTTCATCATTGTGTTGTCATCATCCATCTCAGGGTGTTCAACACTCAGATCACGCTCACGATCATGAGAAGGAAGCCTCTTTCGTCGATATACTTGCATTTGCCGCATCATGGGTGCCATAGAACTCCGCTCACTAAAGCGCTGCAATGAATTTCGAGCATCCGGAGCATGCTGTGTAGAAGGTGCTGTGAAACTATCTGGTAAGAATCTAGTGAACTCCTCAAGCAAATCTCGATGATCCTTAAACAGGGTAGCAACCTCACTATAAATTTCACCTATGTCCTTATGCTCTTTGCGGTACATATTGGAAATGTTCAAGAACGATTTGTAAACATGCTCATCACTTTGGAATCGTTTCTTTATCTTGTTCACAAAACTAATAGCTTCTTCAAATTCAACCGTTTTCTTTGGAGGAGCCTCATCCCTTACTCTCTTCATCTTTTATCGGTTCTCCAGATTTTCCTAGGAAAATTCGCTGGAAAACAAGTCGAGTAGATCGACAAGAGAAAGAAAAAAAAAATAGTGAAGTGTTTGATCGGACAGAACAACAAGGTAAACAAGAAAAACAACAAATAAGGTTTCTTCTTTCTCTGTCTCTCTCACGTTGTTGCGTTAGAACGATGGAAACTGAGGCGGTGGGAACCAATTAAAAGGCTAGATTTAGAATTTTATATGGGAAAAAAATTTAATTATTGCATTTTAATTAATTAATTATGCAATTTGGATTGTGATTTTTTTTTTGGAGGTTTGGATTGTGATTTGATAGAAGAAAATAAATAAAATTTGTGATATGTGATTTAATTTTTTACAGTTTTGGATTGTGAACCAATCTGCGTGTGTGATTTAATATAAAAAATTAATCAAGATTTGATGTGTGATTATATTTAAATTTTATTTTTATTTCTATTATAAAAAAGTTTGGTTTGTTATTTAAATTAAAAGTAACAATTATTATTAATAAGGAAGATAAAATAAAGATTTGATTTGTGATTTAAACTCAAAAATCAATTTGAAAAATCTGTATTAATAAATGAAATAATTCAATAAATATTCTAAATCTCTAAGGAATAAGGATTACCTAATTTAAATTTAAATTATGTTTGTGAGAAATAAAATATATCAAATGAGATGTCATTGCGTAGATCTCGAAAAGTTATGTGGAATCAAAAAACAATTACCTGAATTGGATACCCGAGTCAAAAGTTATGGCCTTCAGAAGTTTTATGATTAAATTATTATTATTTTTTTATAAAAAATGACACGTGTCAACCTTAGGTGAGAGATGCCTAAATGAGGCGTCACATTGTAAAATAGATCCGTAATTATTTCCAAAACTGCCATAAATGCGTAATATTTAATTAAAATGCAATAATTAAATTTTTTTGCCAATTTTATATATCTCAAAGATATGAATTAGTATTATTATATCTCCTTGGAGTGATGGATCAATCAACAAATTAATGACTCTACTAATTTAATTTAATATATTATTTAAAAGTAATATATTTAAAATCAAATTAAATCTAATCATGCCAATTATTAAAAAAACTTTAAAATATATCTTGTTTTTCAAATAAAATAAAATAAAAACATAAATGAAATGATAATTAAAATTCATAAAATTTATACTTAATATATTTTAATTTTATTTATCCTGATATGATAAGCATAGGTTGTGTCAAAATTTCTATATAAATACATAAAATACAAAATTTAAAAGTACACAATACGATAAAGTTTTGTTTCAAAATTTAAAAGTACATAATACAAAATTTAAAAGCACAAATTCTTTTAGTTTTAAAATAATCATTGTTTAAAGATTTGTACAAAAATTAAATAATTCATTAAATTCTTTACGATTTAATGAAAATATAAGTTTATTTGATTATATTACACCTTCACTCTATTAAATCATTCTTATTCCAATAAGTAGAAATAAAAAAATAAAGTAGAGCTAAGAAAATAATATATATATTTTTTAAAGTGACAAATAATTTAGAATAAATTATAACTTTTTAAACACAATTAGATACATAAAATGTGCCTATCATAGTAGAAAGCAAGTTAAATTCAACACCATATTATTTAAGTGGAAAGTGTTTGTCATTTTAAATGACATAAAGTTATGTCATTTGTAACGCCCGGTCGCTTCAAGAATCAATGACTATCCCCACATACTAACACGAGACTTTTCAGTGTGCTTTTTCCTCACTCGCACACATCCCGGGAAAACTTCCCAGGAGGTCACTCATCCCATAATTGCTCCTAGTCAAGCACACCTAACTGTGGAGTTCTTCCGATCCGGGCTACCGAAAAGCAGATGCATCTTGTTAGTATAGGTAGTACCAATTGATTCTTATAAGCTATTCTCAAACTGTGCAGTCTCATACCTGCACAGTCTTTGGAATTCTTCTCTTTCGGGTGTCGATTCGATTCATTCATGCATGTAACCCCACGCTGGAAGCCTGTCAGGAGCCGCTCCTTGTCCGTGCCCCTTTGCACCGGCGATTACTCCCTGCCCTCGTCAGCGCTCTAGATGTTACATCATTTTAATAGAGAGATTCACACAAGACATGGTCCTATCACTTAATTTGTTTTTAGCTTCTTCTTTTTTTAAGAAAAAACCCAAGCAAGACCTGATAATCAAACTTGTGCAGGACAACAAATTAGACATGATTAGTTATCAAACTTCAAGACCTAATACGTCAAATGCTTTGACGGGATTAGCCAAAAAAATTAAGTCCATGTTTTTTAATAAATTAATTACGCATTTATTACAGTTTTGGAAATAATTATATATTTATTGTACAATATAATGACCAATTTGGGCGTCACTCAAGACGCCTAAATTGGGCGTCACTCAAGAGGCAATCATACTTAATTTAGGCGTCATTTATCAGATATTAACACGTGTCATATTTTTTTTCCAAAAAAATAATAATTTAATCATAAAACTTCTGAAGGCCGTAACTTTTGACTCGGGTATCCAAATCAGGTAATTCTTTTTTTAATTCCTCATAACTTTTCGAGATCTACGCAATGAGATCTCATTTGGCATATTTTATTTCACACACACACAATTTAAATTTGCAAGAATAATATTATAAGAAACGTTAAACCCGGAAGCCTCTGAGTTCTGGATTTGTGATTTAATATAAATAAATAAATAAAATTTTGATTTGTGATTTAATTTTTTTTTAATAATATTTTTTTATTATAACAAAAATTTGGTTTGTGATTTAAATTAAAAATTAAAATTAAAATTATTATTAATAAGGAAAACAAAATAAAGATTTGATTTGTGACTTAAACTAAAAAATCATTTTGAAAAATCTGTAGAAATAAAGGAAATAATTAAATAAATATTCTAAATCTCTAAGGAAGAAGAATATTATTTTTGAAATTAATGATTAATGCTATAAGCTTCTAAGTTATTATTTATGGTCTGAAATTAATTATGGCTTATGAATTTTTTTCAAAAATAAAATTACCTAAATTAGGCGTGATTGCCTCTTGATTGAAACCCAATTTAGACGTCATTGGTGACGTGTCAGGTGTTGACACGTGTCACATTTTTAAACTCAGAAGCCTCTGTGTTTTGGGTTTGTGATTTAATATAAAAAATAAATCAAGATTTGATGTGTGATTTAAATTAAAAAATAACAATTATTATTAATAAGGAAAACAAAATAAAGATTTGATTTGTGATTTAAACTCAAAAATCAAGACGCCTAAATTGGGCGTCACTCAAGAGGCAATCATACTTAATTTAGGCATCATTTATCAGATATTGACACATGTCATATTTTTTTTCCAAAAAAATAATAATTTAATCATAAAACTTCTGAAGGCCGTAACTTTTGACTCGGGTATCCAAATCAGGTAATTCTTTTTTTAATTCCTCATAACTTTTTGAGATATACGCAATGAGATCTCATTTGACATATTTTATTTCTCACAAACACAATTTAAAAATGCAAGAATAATATTATATGAAACATTAAACCCGGAAGCCTCTGAGTTCTGGATTTGTGATTTAATATAAATAAATAAATAAATAAAATTTTGATTTGTGATTTAATTTTTTTTTAATAATATTTTTTTATTATAACAAAAATTTGGTTTGTGATTTAAATTAAAAATTAAAATTAAAATTATTATTAATAAGGAAAACAAAATAAAGATTTGATTTGTGACTTAAACTAAAAAATCATTTTGAAAAATCTGTAGAAATAAAGGAAATAATTAAATAAATATTCTAAATCTCTAAGGAAGAAGAATATTATTTTTAAAATTAATGATTAATGCTATAAGCTTCTAAGTTATTATTTATGGTCTGAAATTAATTATGGCTTATGAATTTTTTTCAAAAATAAAATTACCTAAATTAGGCGTGATTGCCTCTTGATTGAAACCCAATTTAGACGTCATTGGTGACGTGTCACATTTTTAAACTCAGAAGTCTCTGTGTTTTGGGTTTGTGATTTAATATAAAAAATAAATCAAGATTTGATGTGTGATTTAAATTAAAAAATAACAATTATTATTAATAAGGAAAACAAAATAAAGATTTGATTTTTGATTTAAACTCAAAAATCAATTTGAAAAATCTGTATTAATAAAGGAAATAATTAAATAAATATTCTAAATCTCTAAGGAAGAAGGATTACCTGATTTAAATTTAAATTATGTTTGTGAGAAATAAAATATGTCAAATAAGATGTTATTGCGTCGATCTCGAAAATTTATGTGGAATTAAAAAAAGAATTACCCGATTTGGATACCCGAGTAAAAAATTATGGCCTTCAGAAGTTTTATGATTAAATTATATTTTTTTTGAAAAAAAATATGACACATGTCAACACCTGATGAGTGACGCCTAAATTAGGCGTGATTTCCTCTTGAGTGCGAGTTGGCTCCCTCCGGTATCCCCACGAGCTTCGACTCTTTGAGCCGGCTATGGGACTAATCCGGAGTGCGGGGGAACAATGACCTTACACAAATTTTTGATATTCTTCTTGACTTTCTCCCTAATTTGTTCCCTAATTTCTATCTTAGGAATTTCCTTCATCCAATACCTGACTTTGTTTTTTCTTGAATTTCCTTTATTTGATTTCTCTTAATTCATATCAGGAATTTTTAAAAAATAAAATAATATATACTTGATAAATGGGTGTTCCCATTCCTTGATTCCAATTTAAATTCACAATAATAATAAAAGTGCTCTGTTTCACTTCTATGAGAATAAATGATTGTTTGGATGAGTTTTCAAAAAAAATATTTTTATATTTTATTTATTTTAGAAGTACTTTTTATAAAAGTTAAAGTTATTTAGATTTTTAAAAAATATTTAGTTTTTGAAAAAATATTTGTGTTTTAACTTATGTTATTTTTAGAAGCTAAAATTTTCATTTTAAAAAAAAAAGATTTTTAACTTT